AACTTACCTTTAAAACGGGCATAGACCATACGGTCGCTTACCGGTTTCCACTCAATCAAAGCGAAATGGGTTTTGTCAGACATGACAATCGCTGCGCCATTTCGTCCCGAGTTATCCGAAGCACCACAGTGATATAACCAGTACCTCTGCTCCGAGCCAGGATCACTCGATCACTCGAGACCCGAAATAAGGAAGACAAGCAAGCGACATCCACACGATATTTAAAAAGGGTGTGGATAGTGATCGCTTGGCTTGCAACGTCCATAAGCATTCTGAATTTCCACGCTGATACGGCTAAAATCTCGCCATGCGTGCAGAGAGCTGTTCCTTTTTATAGGTTCTGAGCAATTGTCCTGGCTTGCGAGCATATTTTATTTACCAGCCTTGGGATACCTTTAAGCCCGGATTATGCACTTATCGCATGTACCACCGGGCTGGGAGTATCATGCGCTTCGGGAGACGCGGAAGCTATGTCAAAAATATCTGACCCCTTCACCACAGAATCACTTGGGGTTAAAGTTGGTTCCCCAGCAGCCACCCGAATTTTTGATATAATTTGGCAGGTTTACTCTTGCTAAAGACAAGAAAATTAAATTCAAAGAAAATGATAAAATAAGCAATGAAATTTTAAAAATAATAAAAGAATAAAAAGGTAATTAAATCAATTAGATGAATTCGATCTTATCTGTTGCTTTTTTGTTTTCTTAGTTTCTGTTATCAAAAATCGCCAATTCCTATTTGTTCAATAATTACCTCATACTTGACATATTTTTATCAATGTATCAGCTATAAATATTCGTATCCTTTATTTTACTGAATTAGGCCATTTAATTTGCTTTTTACAGCTAAATATATAAGTAAAGGCTATGAATTTAATTTTTTAACATTAATTATTCTTTTTTATTTAATCTTTTCAATTGCTTGCATTTTTTAAAATAATTTTAACTGCCAAGTAAAGTGATTTATTAGATAAATTAATCATTCGCTCATTTCGGATTGCTTTTTCGTTGTAAATAGTGCTTTTTTTAGAACATTATTGCTTGGATAATGATAATGATAATAATAATGATAATAAATAATAATAATATTAATAATAATAATATAATATTAATAATATATTAATAATATTAATAATAATAATAATAAAACAATAATAATAAAATAATAATAATAAAATAATAATAATAAATAATAATATAATAATAATAATAATAGTAATAATAATATTAATAATAATAATAATTAATAATAATAATAAATAATAATAATAAATAAAAATAATAATAATAGTAATAATAATAATAATAATAAACCAGTAATAATAATGTTTAATAACCGTAATGCTAATAACGAAGATAATAGTTGTAATAATCCAGGTGGTGCTGGTGACTCACCTATATTTCTATCGCCAAGTGACTTTCTGGCAAATTTTGCCAGCTTGAAATCAACTTAACTAGCAATGATAGATAAATTTTAAAAAATGAGCAAAAAAAGTGATATAATAATAAATAAATAAAGAGAAGAAATAAGAATGAATTAATTATGCGGTGTAAATATTTAAAATTTTTTTTTAAATTCTTTTTTTTTTTTGCTATGCAATTCGTCAAATTTTTCATTGTTTTTTTTTCTCAACTAATTTTCTCCATTTCATTTAGTGGTTTAGTTTGAAAAGATATTTAAAGGTGTGATAAGGAATGTTAGCGCAAATCGAAATATCCATCCATGTTATGTATCGCATGAAAAATAAAATTCACCGACTCCGCCTTGATGTCCATTTATCCTAAGATTGCCGGCTGGCTGTATTGATTTTCACAATTCTACAACTTATCAACAGCCATACCGCACAACTTTTTTTTTATAAGAGAATTCATTACAATGATACCTATCGGCGAGGTATAAATTAATCTTTTATTTTATAAATTTTTTTTTAAATATTTTTTTTCTTCTCTTATATTTTCTTGTTTTTATTTTTTTTTTTTATTTTCACGTAAAATTTGATTTATAATTTTATTTTCAAGCAATTCGAAATGATTTTATAAAAATTTCAATTTTTTAAAATAGTTTTATTTAAAATTTCATTGAATAGAAAATAACTGATAATTGTCGAAATCGCAACGATCAATTCGAAAAAGAGCAATAAAATTAAATCGAATCTGAAATTTACCAATATTATTATTGTTTTTATTATTATTATTATTACCATTATTATCATTAATATTTTTATTATTAATCACAAATTAATTTATATAAAAATTAAAATATAGACGATATAAAAAAATTTAAAAAAAGAATCATTTTTATTCGTTTTTATGGTTGATATGGAACTTAATATTTTTACAAATGTTTTTTGAATAAGCGATTAATTGCATATCTTCCGAATAGAATATGAACTCTGACATCTCTTAGAGGCATAACGAAGTACCATTTGGTAGATTAGGCATACTATGTAATTAATAGGTTGATGGACTAACTCTTTAGTTCAGTAAACCAAATACTGTAGTGGCGTTAATAGTGTTTTTTTGTGGCCTTACAGTATGAAAATATAAAATAAACAGTTATATGCAATAATTTATTAATAAATTGATTAATTATCTAATTGTTTAAAATATCGCAAATGAGCGAAATTCGTCGAGGTTTATAGACGATTTTTAAGATTATTTGCAACATATTGCTGAGTCTCGTCTTAAAATAATTTCATTATATTATTTTATAATATTTAAGAAACGAAGTTATAAGTGGTTTACGAGTGAAGAAACTTTCTTAAATCTTCGACGTTTCTGATTATTTGGAAAATTTTTAATGGATTTTGCTTCTTTCATATTTATTCCATAAATCGCGATTATGCAAGGCGATTTACTTATATCGTCTTTAAGTGATTCGAAAATGTCGAAAAAAGGCATTAATTATTTAGCAATCAGTAGATTTAATCAAATCAATAATGGTGATATGATAATATTTATATCTATTAAGATATATTTAAATGTTACACCTTAAGAATTTCTCCATTCGAATTCCTTTTTTTTTATTGCTTTTTCTTATTCGCTTTAGATTTTTTAGCAATATTTTTTATAGATTACGTAATTAGGCAAATATATGCTTCGGATAAACAAATTTAAAGATTGCTTCTGATAAATAGAGTATCGTATTTCTTTATTTATTAGCATTACGACCGATAAAATTTTTTGCTTAGATTGAAAAAATGCATGAATAATGTAGAAATAATTTTTGGCATTTTTTATTGATTAATAAATTATCGCAAGTCGATCGCAAAAATATTTTTTTTGCTTATAAAAGCATTAAAAAAACAAATATTATTCGACATGCGAAACCGTAAAACATAAAAAATTATAAAAATTATTTTTATGCAAATTTTTTATGATTTATTTTATCAAATTATTGAATATTTGAAATTATATAAAATTCTTTTTATTCTTGAAATTTTCAATAAAAAAAAAATTTTTTTTGGCAAAAAATATAAATAAGACAAGGCAATTTTCATCTTTTGTCGTTATATGTCATTCTGTTATTTGTTTAAAGTAATATTTTTTAAATTTTCTATTATTAGAGTTGATTAATAGTTAGTTTAATTGGCTATAAAAATGAGATATTTCCAAGTTTATCGATCCAATGCTATATCTGAAAATTATAGAATTATAGAAAGCTTTTTTTCGTTAACCAATCTCATATATCACTGAGTCGCATATGCGTTCAAAATCTTTTCTGACTATATCGGCCCAGATTTTGAGTGGGTAGTTTTGAAACTATCCATCATGAAGCTTGGCATATTCGCGCATATTTCTTCCTTTAGTTGATTGACGAAGACAATGGTCTAAGATACTACCTATATTACATAATATATTCGGACGGAGATGCATAGAAAATATGAAATCATTCATATGAAATATGAAATGTATAGCAGGCATATAGAATTTACCTTTGACATGCGAATTGGCTATAGGTGAGTAGCTTCCCGATTAATATCCACCCTTATTGGCCACATTTCACAATCATATAATTGTATATATAGGGCAAATTAGGCTAAAAATTTCAATTTGAGATTGATTTTGCGGCGATTTTTCTTCGAAAAATATTAATTCGATTAGAAGCACTAATAAAGATATAATAACTATATTTTATTTTATGCTAAAATTAAGTCAACAATCAAGTTTTATTTCAATTATATTTGAACTTTGTTTAATTGCCAAAGGAAATCGTTAAGTTTTGACTACAATTAAAAACATGAATATCGCAATAAACTAAGATTAATTACAAACAATGAAAGCTAATAAGCTTGAATAAAAATAATTTGCCTTTCTAATTTGTTTTTTAAAGATCGAAAAAACCAAAAATTGCCTTTTTTTTAAATCGAAAAAACATTGAAAAACACTTTTAACAATCAAGAAAAGCATGAAAAAAAAAGAAGTGAAAAATAAAAATTTTATTTTTCATCTATTACAGTAGTCAGTCGATTTTTATAGATCACATGGAATCTACGGTGATTTTCGATGGTTGCATGAAATTTTAATTCCAATTATATTATATTCTTATTTTGAATAGCAATAAATCTTTGATGAATATTTTTTTTGTTAGTTTATTCTGTTCATTCAATGCTTTTAGATGGAAAAATTAAATAAATATGAAATTTTAAAGTCTGAAAATAGCATCGCCCAGGGGGTTCGTGAAAAATAAAAAAGGTCTGATGAGCATTAATTTACTGGAAATACATTGTAATGAGTTTCGAAATGAGTTAGCATAATTCACATATGTGTTACTAAATTTATATCCATTAGCGAATTGCGATAAGATGTTTTACGTTATTAATAATGTTCATTTTTAAGAAAGTACTTTCATATGAATACTGTTGAAGTAGTAATTTTTAGTTCCAATATAAGGTGAAAAACAATGATTGAAACGATGATTGTCGATATAAGGTCAATTTGCAACAATTGCTAGGTATTAATCGTGAAAATGCAATACAATTAAATATGGTAAATTAGTTGATGAATAGTGTTTTACGTAGTGTTTTGTCGCTGAAAGGCTGTAAAAGCCTTTTGGAAGCCGCAAATAGTGTGACCTGCAATACGGTTTTTAGTCCTATTATTGAATAAAATAATTAACAGCATATTTCGTTATTTATTACGCTAAGGATCATTATTCTTTAGTAAAAAAATATTTTAAATTTTAAATATATAATTTAATTTTTTAGTAAAAAATTGGCTTGGTGAAGTCCATTTATAATATTTATACTTAAAAAACAATCTTAAAATTGCTATAGTTTAAATTTGGTTTTTTTAAGTTTTCAAATTTTTTAATAAATTTTTCTTAAAAAATTTATTTTTTTCATTAAAATAAAATAAAATTTTAATATAATAAATAATAAATATGATTTTTAAATTTTTTAGTTGCCTTCAGTTTTTTATTACTAATCTTTTTTTTTTTTAAGACTCAAGATGGTCGAGCTGATATGACAAATTTTGAAATGGACCTCTTTGATGCAAGGATGAATTCATATTCTGTCGAAAAAGTTTTTTCTCTTTCATGTTTTTTTCATTTTCTAAATTGTATTAGAATATTTAATTTGATTAAAGGAAATTTGAAGGAAAAAATGAAATTACTTGGAAAAAATTGCTATCCACTTTTCCCTTAATTTTCGTAACCAAATCTATTTTATATTTTATTTTCATCTGCTTTTATGAATTTAGTTGAACTGGTGAAATGTTTTAGATTAATGGTCATAAAACTGGGCCTCTACGGACCTTCTGAGATCCATGACGAATCTCTCAGAGGGTGCATGGGAATCTAATTAGAATTATTTATTAAATTCTTGTCTTATTTCATTGACATCAAATTATTTTTATCGAATTTTATTTTGTTCAGTTTATTATACTCATTCAAAGCTTTTAGATGAAAAATTTTAATATTTTAAAATTTCAGAAAATGAAAGTCTTAGAGTCCATTTGGAGTCCATGAATTTTATATTATTATTTAGATGGTCCGTGGAAACAAAAAAAAAACGTTTGACGACCATTAGTTTAGATAGATAATCTTCATTTATTACGGTTTTTCATTTGAATAGTCTAATTTGTACTACCTTTCGTTCGGTATTGATTTCCTTTTTTTTCCAGGAAGAAAGTGAACAATGCTGCAAACACACTATTATCAAACCAGCTTGTATTCCCATATCTATAATTTCTTTATTTATTTTTATGATTGTATTTTTTCCATTATTTAATGAGGATTCCGCCGATGCCACACTTTCTCGATATGAAAGAAGTGGTTTCTGTATGGACCAGTGCAGGTAACGAATCACCGTATATGAGAATTTTTTCCTAAAAGCGATCAATATTTCTGGTTGGGCTTAGTTTCTCGAATTTCGCCAGGAAATTCAAAATTTGACGATAGAAATATAGATTGCTAGCCTTACTCGAGTTTTTGAAGGGCATGTTTATTCCTACCGGCAAAACCTTAACATCAACGCTCAGAAGTGAGAGTAACAATCCACTGACCCATTCCGTCATCCTATTATTGCTATTGGAAATTTTTGAAATTTCTTTTTTATTTTTATTTTTTATATTTTATATTTTTTATTTATTTTATTTTTATATTTATATTCATCCATATTCCTCCATACTTTGCAGTTCTTATCATCAGAAAGTAATCTTTTCCGTTTACTGATAAAAATTTATCGCAATTTACAGTTTGGGAATTGTCGAATCGATACCCACAAATCTAACTTATCCGAATTTTACTCAAACAATGTCGACATATGAGGCTTGGAAATCTTTATTAGACAATGCTGCATTTTCTATCGATCTTGCTGTGTTTTATTGGAATCTAAGAGATAATTTTAGGCATCCAACAGCTTGGCAGGTAATTTTGTCGTCTTTTAAACAATCATGGCATTATTAATTTTGATAAAAGGAAGCAAGTGAATAACAATAATTGAATATTTTTTTTATTATTTTTTTGAATTATCAAAAATTTTTATTTCAGGGCCAAGACATCTTTGATCGAATCGTATTAGCAGCCAAACGTGGTATCAGGGTAAGTGTTCTTCTGTTTTTTCTCTTTTTAGGTTAATATAAAGGCAGTGGATGAAGAATAGAATTTTATTCTCGCAAGTTTTATTTTTCTCTTCTTAACTCTACTTTTTTGCATTAACGAAATCGAAAAATAAATAAGAAAGATTTTTCTAATTCCTAGACCAGAATCTTTTTTTTTTTAGGATTTATGCAATATTTCTAAAATTTCTAAAGTTGAGGTGAATTTCTTTTTATTAATTCCTTAGTAATTTTCTAGAAACTGTTAAAATATATTTTTCGTTGAATTCAACGTAAATACGTAAAATTTATTTTCAGTTATTTACAGATTCGTATTGCTCAAAATATGCCATCGCATATTTCAAATGGATCAGACTCTGAATTTTTAGCTTCAAATGGTACTTTATATGATTTATTCTGAAATTTTTTTTTCTTTTTAGTTTCTCAACATTTTAAGGTTTTTTGAGTTTTTTTAAATCGGATTATTTTTGGTTGCTTTCATTTCTATTTAGGATACGCTTCTGTTCGTACTCTTAATTTCTCATCGCTTTTGGGGGCTGGTGTACTTCATACGAAATTTTGGATTGTTGATGCAAGGCATGTTTATATTGGCTCCGCAAATATGGATTGGAAGTCATTAACTGAGGTCTGTCGAATCATTCGCCAGTAAGGCCATATTTGAAATTGTAGCAATTGTAGTATTTGATTTCTACTTGAACGTATTTATATTTTAATTTTTGCTATTTAAATATATTAATTTATTGTTATAACGTAAATTCTAGGTGAAGGAACTGGGATATTTAATTTCCAACTGCACTTGTATAGCTCATGAATTTTCGAAGATATTCGCGGTCTATAGGCGTCTTGGCGTTAATGATGCGAAAATTCCAAAGAAATGGCCAATAAATCTTCGAACTTTTTTCAATTTTTCACACCCACTTGACGTATATATAAACGAACAAAATGCTAAGGCTTTTATTTCAGTGAGAATTTTGATTATCCGTTTTTGCTTTTTTTTTATGCTATTTTTTTCGTTTTTCATAATTTCTTCTGAATTAAAGACTTCTTAATAATAAATAATCGTGAATTTTATAGAATTCTCCGCCAAGATTTAATACGAAGGGCCGTGAAAGTGATGATATTAGCATTGTTAAAGCAATGGAGGATGCAAAAGAATTTATCCATGTGTCCGTTATGGATTATCTTCCAACCACTCTTTATATGGGCAAAAGAAAGAATTTGTATGTTAATTATATTTTTTAAGATATTTTTTTAAAGAAGTTTAGGAGTTAAGTTTAGAAAAGGACAATGTATTAAACATTGAACGTTATTTTCTAATAATTCGGAAATATTAATGAGTAAATATGAATGCCTCTGTATAGTTAACATTTGGTGTGGATGTCTGTAGAAAACATGGCCGTCACCAAGACTGTGAAATCCACAGAACGTTTTGTTTCAGTGTCATCGTTTTATATATTATTTAAATTCTGTTTTTTTAAAATATATCTTTTTCAGCTTTTCTATTTACCTTATGTTTGTCTTCAAATATTTTCATTTTTTTAAACTTTTTTTGCCCATTATTATGGTCAGTTTTTCTTTTCGTTGTGAATCTGATAATTTGTAGTTATTGGCCAATGTTCGATGATGCGATAAAATCGGCTGCTTATCGAGGTATTACTGTTCGACTTTTGGTTGGCAACTGGAGTCATTCAAAACCTGCAATGATTCCATTTTTGCGATCTTTAACGGTAGTTAATCAAGCATTACCACGCCGATTTAATTCGTCAGGCAAAATCGAAGTGGTAAATAGCAAATCTTTTATCTATTAAATTTTCCGAAAGCGTATTGTAAGCATATTACTTTCCATATTTTTCTGGGCTATTAACTGGCCCAGTTTTTTAAAGATTTTTGTCCAAAAATATGTTAATATTAAAAATAAAAAAATTTTCACCAGAATGGTTCATTTTTTTTATAATTTTTTACCTTGCAGTGATTATTTATGACTGGAAAATCAGCCATGAAATTTTTTGGGCTGGAAAAACTTTTATTTTTTTATTTGTTTTTTTATTTTTTATTATTTGGATTGATTAGAAAATCGAATTTTGAAATGCTTAAGTTATGCACAAAACGAGCCCAGGCTTAGGCTTAGCAAATCGACATAAATATTAAATAATTTGCTTTGTAATTTGGTTATTTTTCAGAAATTATTTACTATTCCTTCCAATGAAGAACAGCGAAAAATACCTTTCACACGTGTAAATCACAATAAATTTATGGTAACGGATCGTATCGCATACGTAGGTAATAAATTTTATATTTATTTAAATATTTCATCGATTCGATTTAACTGAATATTTTTTCGGTTTATTATTATTATTATTATTATTATTATTATTTATTTATTTATTATTATTATTATTATATTATTATTATTATATTATTATTATTTATTATTTATTATTATTATTTATTATTATTTATTATTATTATTTATTATTATTATTTATTATTATTATTATTGTTATTATTATTATTAATTATTATTATTATTTATTATTATTATTATTAATTATTAGTAATTATTATTATTATTATTAATTATTATTATGTTAAATTTATATTTTCTATTTATTATGTTTAATTATATTATGTTCAATTATAACTAAATTATATTTTGCCAAATTAAATATTTTATTATTATTTCCCAAACACAATAATATTCTCTGGTTTTTGCTATATTTTGGCAAAAAAATTACAAAACACCGAAAAATTTTAATTTATTCCGCTGTAGTTTTTCTTAAATTTTATTTTAAAAAATTCACTTGTAATTTATAAAATTATCATGAATTATCATCATTATCATTTAATATAATTTTTAATTAAATCATTTAGGGGAGTACATTTATTTCATTTAATTTCATTTATTTTAGAGAAATGAGTTAACCAAACGATTCGTTCTTATGTAAATTTTATTTACAGGAACGTCAAATTGGGCTGGCGACTATTTTATAAATACCGCTGGAGTTGGTGCTGCAATTATTTTGCCATCTGTAGTTGAGTCGCTAAATAGGATATTTTGTCGCGATTGGTATTCTCAATACGCCGTTGACCTCGAACATGTCAAATAATAAGCGTTTTTCGCAGTTCTTTTTGCAGTAATTTGAATTTATGCAAAGAGATTAGGATTAATTATCTTTGTTAATCTCTTTCCTTTTTTTTTTCTTCATGGCTTATGGAATCAAATATGACACAAATGATGTGCCTTAATTGTATTGCTTCTCGTCTCAGTGTTTTTAAAATACTATTTTTAAGAAAATAATTTTATTTTTCAATTCAGGGAAAAGATTTAAGAAAAGAGACTAATATTTTAAATGGAAAATCTTAGAGAAATCATAAATTTTCTATTGATATAAAGGTGATAACGATATAAGTGAGATTTAAGGCTCATATTGTATTATTGCATATCCTAATTTACACTAAAACCAATATTTTCCATTGATCTCTAAGGATTGATAAATGGTATAACAAAGTTATGTGCAAGTGTGCCAGCTTATTGCTTTATTACTATTGAAGTTTCCGAATATGCGAACTTCATAAATAGTCTTTATAAATGGTTTTAAAATTCTTAAATACTCGTGTCTTTTTCATTTCTTTTAAAAGAGCTTTAAGCAGGTGAGGAGAAACAAATGGAGAGGGGTTTTAAGGGGTTTTTCAGATCGACCTACTTGTATATGTTTTTTCCGACTATTCAAAATAAACTAAATTTCATACGGTCATTAGTTGTTTCTTATTAGGAAGAGATCGAAAGATAAGGAATATTGAATTCTGCCAATCTCTTTTGGCATTCCCTATAGTTGTCCATGCCCTATTGTATTAAACGCGAATATTGTGTTATCATGTTGCATCCAGGTCGTATATTTCCTCTAATTTCTTCCTCTATGTCTGGTTTTATTAAGTTTTATGTCCGTTTAAAAGCCACTTTCTATTTAACTAATTAATTTTACTTATTTTCTAATTATTTATTACTATGGCAGTTTGGCCCAAATATGGCACATTATTTGTGCTTATCTTGTAAGCCATATTTCAGTGTCATCACGTTCCATATGTTTGTTATTTCACGCTTCTGTCAAATTTGTGTAATATTTTCATTAAAAATTTTTTTCCGCTTTTTTTATTGATAGTACTAATAATTATTTTTTATATAAATTTTTTTAAATTTAATGAAAAAAAGCTAATTTTAGAAATTTTAGAAATTCTAAAGTTTGTGAAATCAAATGCAATTATGAAAAGTTCATTTATTTGCGTAGAAACTATATTTTTGGGATTATATTGATATATTATTTATATATTTTATATAGTCTAAGCAATTAGAAAGCGAAAAATATTTACAGAAAAAGAAAGATGGAATGAAGATATCGATGATTTTATTTCTAAAAATGTTGAATTTCCTTTTTTTAAATTTACATTAAATTTTCATCAGAATCTGCCAAATAAGTGGGAAAAGTGGTTCGCCAATTTTGGCCAAAATAATATGAAAATATAAAATTTTTGCAATGGCAACCATCCCGAAACGATAAATGATAAGGAAACATAAAGTTATTAATTTGATAAAGGCACTTGTATGGGATGGAATGGCTCAGTGGGTTATTGCTCAGTTTGGAGCGCCGATACTGAGGTTCTACTCCGCGCAGAAGTAAACCAGTCCAAAAATCCGGTTGATGCTGGCGACTCACCTGTACTTCTATCGCCAAGGGACTTCCTGGCATATTTGTCTAACGTAACAAACAAACTAGCGGAGCGAGTTTAACCAGTAAATCGTGAGGATTCTTGAAAAAAGAGAAATAAAGCTTCTATTTGTACCTAACGCGAGAAAATGGTGAGGTTGGTGAATATATATCGCCACTGAATTTAAGGAATACCTTGCGTTTAATTTTTTTTACTTGATCGAATTGTGTGTAACTCACTGATTGCGTTAAATTAGTATTAATGTAAACAGATGGTATATAAAGAAAATTTCTTTCTTATCGCCTATGGTTGGCAAGCGTCGTCCTCAGGTCCTTTACAAAAGGCTTGAAAGATTGAAGATTCAGTATTATCTTAGCTATTCAGTGCGCTCTTCTGGGTAGAGATCCCTGGTATTGTTCCTGGATCCTGCTAAAGAACCAGTTTTTTAGTTTAGGAGTCAAGTTCCAAGTGCTCCAATTATCAATGGAATTACTTTGACCTTAACTTTCCTCATCTCTAGTTTCTCTTCCAGCTCTTGGTATTTCTCTAATTTTTATATGTATATATATATATACTCTACCAAAGACCTGGGCGAGTTAGGCTTTAGAGCTTTTATCTAATATTATGGAGTGTGAACAGTGGTATTCATAACAATGGAATTAGTGATGGCAATAACACATTGAATAATAGCAATAAGAATATTGGTATCAAGATCAATCAAAACGTTATTTTACCACTTGCAATATGTTAAGAATCAACGAGCATCAAATAACTCATCATGATGACTGTGATAAAGTTTTATCGGCCACTTATCAATAATGCACAAAAACAAAATGATCATTCTTCATAAAAATTGTTAGTTAAGACTGGCAGTTTTATTTTTCGATACCACCTGTTGTCTACAGTGAAAGAACTTGATTGTTTGCATTTTGCTGAAGATGCCATTAAAAATTGTTAGTTAATTATCCTAGATAATGTTCAATATTTAATTTGATTTAATTTGGTAATTTTTAAATTATTATTCAATTTTATTGAAACAGAATGTATTACAGCAATATTATACAATCGTAAATCAAAATCACAAATATGGAGTTCGTGAAAAGTGGAACTGAAATTGGGATGAGTGGTAATCGAAGTTTCTACGAAAAATCCCCGTTTTCAAAGAACCAGTTGCATATAGGTCTTTGCATGTAGGTTGGTTTTTCTGATCCCGGAAGGAATAACTCTGTACAACTTTGCTTAAAATAAATCAAAAAACAAAAAAACATCCGAAGATTCGAAGAATGTCAAAGTGCAATTGTCGCAAAATAACCTATTATTAATAAAAGGTTATTACAATAAATCCACATCGATTTATTCTTTGGCTCAGAATTACTTCCAACTTCGACTAATTGAAATAGTTCCTAATTTTTCCATTTTGGACTAAGCTTTCCCAATGAAAAGAAAATTATTAAATTATTAATTTATTTATCGTGCAGCATTCACTATTCCTTGTAAAGCTCGTTCTATTGGCTTGTCGGATGAGAAGAATGTTGCTAGGGAGTCGCTCGGCGATGAAAGTACGGATGAACTGCTAACATCTGAATTTTTGAAAGGCATATTTACTCCTGGATTAGAATTTTATCCTCAACTTCAAAATGAAAGCAGCAACCCACTGAGCCATTCCAATTTAGACTATTTAAGAACGCAAAAAAAGCTACGACTGCATAAATAATTATAATATGAATGAAATGACTGCGTTAAAAGAATGAATGAATATAAAAGGGCTAGAAATTTTTTTTTCTTTTTAAAAGTCCTCACCATTACTGATTAAACTCGTTTCGCTGGGTTGTCGAACTGGACTAATATGCCAGGGAGTCCCTGTCCCTTTGCTGGGAATAGAACCTCAGCATCGACACTCAGAATTAAGCAACAACCCATTGACCCATTCTATCCCCAAAAGGGCTCGAATAAGTCGTACCATTCCTTATTAAATTTGTTCCGTTGACTTTTCGGACGAAAAGAATTTTGCTATGATCTGTTCTTTAAAACGATTCTCTTAACAATTTCCTAAAACTCTCTCTTTAAATTTCTTTATTAGGCATTGAACTATCTGCTTAGATTGATTATAGCTTCATTATTGGTTTGTTGGTTTGTTGAATTCGTACGATCTTGCTATATGGCTCTGAAATATGGCCAATGAGAGTGGAGGATATTAAGAAACTATCTGCCTTTGACCACATTACAAGTTCGCCGAATGGATAAAATCTCACATGATTGCATACACCTTCACTCAAATACTACTGCCATCATACGGCGTTACCTTCACTGGTTATAGCACTTTCTTCGCCCACAAAAAAGTCCATTTTTGTGTTTAATTCTATATTTCGCCTTTATCCATAAATAATAATCCATAATAATGGCTATTAAGCGAATATTGGTTAAATATTTTTGTTTTTTATTTGATAAATAATTTATTTTCATAATTAACATATAACATGAATGGATTAAGCGATGAGTTTGAATATAAGCAATTATTTTCTGCGCAATTCTAACTAATTGCTGATAAAAAAAAAAAAAAATTTCATGGAAGGAAATAAGTCTGAAAATGGTCATTTCCGATGAAAAACACATTTAAAATTAAGCATCGAGAACTTTGATTGAGCTATTATTGGCTTGGAACACTTCCATTCGTAACAATTCATTATTTTCTTCACCTTGGAATTAGAAGAAAGATTCTATAACAGATGTTTACTCGCTTGAAGTTTAACTCCTTTTTTTCTTACCACGGTTAATTTTTCCAGAAAATTTCTTCTTATGAAATTCAATATGAGTTTAAAATTTTGTCAGATCTGTTCTGTTATGACTCGTATGGTACCACTTTTTATGTGGCCGTTTCTATATTAGTAGAGTTTTTAACTAAAGAGTTTTTCTAAATTGTAGCTGAAATTGTGGGATATTTGCCTTTCATTCATTTCTTCTTCTTTTAGCATATGATGGTTAAACAAATATGACTAGTTTTGATGGCTAAAATGATTGGGTGTTTTTGAGCTTCTCGATCCAATGTCAAACTTAAAAATAGCATAAACGCTCATATCTGAGTCCCTGTATTGTTTGGTCGCCTATATATCCGAAACCGTATTAATCCAGATCTTAATTGGACCTACAGGACCTCATCTTTTTTAATACCTTTCATTGCAAGGCTTGAAATATAAGCAACAAGATAAAGGTAATCCTTCCGATAAGCGGCGAAGAACATAGTAGTTTAGGCCATGCTGTATTATGATAATAGAGGCTTAGACTTATTTTGTTTTATTTGTGGTGTCTTCTAATGATGTTCCAGTGAAAGTAAGTGAAATCTTATAAGATTCTATACACCTAATAAATGCCATAGCATGCACCAAAGTATGGTTAAAATAGCTTCTTGATATCTTCCACTCTCATTGGCCATATTTCGTAGCCTAAGAGATCGCAGCTAGATGCAAAGTTTCCTTATGTTTTGTTTTGTAAAGTTTGAATGTTGATTTAATAGCGATTCTACAAAAGATTTCATGCAATTGTTTTCCTTTTCTTCTAACATCTCCTACTATTACTGGTTAGGCTGGCTCCACAAGGGTAATATGTTTCCAAGCTGCGCGATCTGATGCTATTGTCGACGGTAATAGGCGCCATTCCTTTTTCAATCGTTTAATATGTTTCATATATTGCTGGTCCACCTATACATTCAAAATCTTTTCTGACAGTCCAGATCTTGTTTGGTTCTCATAGCTTTTGACGCTATCCATCACAGGGTTTAACAAATAGTGAAACATATGTCAACTCCTATGGCGACGAAGAATGTTCCCTAACCAGCGAAGATGACGTTCTTTTATGGTGTCGTTAATGCAGGTAGTATTTGAACGAAGGTGGATGCAATCATTTGAGATTTTATCCGCTCGGCGGACCCGTGAAGTCTTAGACATGAATGGTCAAAGGCAGATAACTTCTTAATATTCTCCACTTTCATTGGTCTTGATTGGTAATGATAATACTAACTATCACACATATGAAGATCTGAATTTAAATTTTAACTTGCCAGATACAATAAAATATATATAATAAATCACAATCTTAGTAAATTATAATCAAATATATTTCTAGTTTGGCCATAATAAATCGTAAAATTGCATAAAATAATTATTATGAAAAGGATTAATACAAAAAATTATCGCAGAAGAGACTCTTCACCAGTCATCTGAATTTCACTTTCACTCTCGTCGAAGGACAGGAATCGAGCCGATACTTCGATTTTCTCACTCTTACTCGCTAGGCTGAAAGCATATATTTAAAAATGGCTTTAACAGACATTTGCACTTATTTTTAATTGCTATCTCCGCTTGAGATTTCATTTTATTCAATTTTTTTTCCTTCAGCTATGATAATTTATTATCACTATATTATGAAGTTTTGCTCAAATTAGACTCCGTACTCTATCACTTTATCATTATCATAATTAATTAATACAATGCGTTACTTATCTTCGTTACTATTTTTTATTTAATATTAAACTACCAATTTTACCAAATTATTGATTATGAAACTTTAAATTTTCTATACCAAATTTAAGAAGTGTGGTCAGTTCCAATTTCAAGAGAAGTGAAGATCATTTCATTCATTCAATGCGTTTTTCTCAAAATGATCTTCCACATTCATTATTAATTTTTCTAAATCTGTAAATATTTTAAATTTACAGGAAGATGAAATCCGCTAGGAAACTAGTATTTCATTCCAACATTACCGACCTTATGCTAGTTTTTCTCTTCATTGAAGCAACAAACGCCTTTATGTTCGACTACATAAGTGGTCCAACGACCAATGTTAGTTAGTTTGCTGTTACGTTTGCTTGGATTCCTTGTAAATTGTATTTTTTGACAAAACCAATTCTTAACTAGCTAAATCTCGGTTGAGAATCGAAGCAACAATGCAGCATTCTAAGAAAACCCATAAATATGGAACATTTTTATTTATCAAAAAAACAATATTGATATAAATAATATATAAATATTATTAATAAATAAATATAATAAGTAATATAATATATATTTATAAAAATATCGCCCTAAATCTTTATTTATCACTAAATTCTAAATTACCTTTCTTTTTTCGAATTCAAACTAGAAAATAGGTAAATATGCCCACGAAAACAAGGAACCACTTATCATTCTTGGTAGATCTCTAATTCTTTTCATTGCTAATTATAGCACTTTTTTCCTATAATTATTTTCGAATAAGAGCACTTTTTTTTTCTCGGTGGAAAGAATAATATTTCAATGAAATGCTCAGTGTTCACTCGTCCTTAATAATAGAAATTTACCTTTTAGTTTTAATGATTTAAAAAATATAATAAATGCAGTTATTTTAAGAATCTTTAAGTTATTAAAAGGAATCATTATTTAATTTCGTGCTTCATTTGCTATCATTTGTTTTCGATTCAGGAATTAAGCGAGGATTATGCAATCTTTAACGATCAACTAACTAAAAGATACGAATTTCCATCAATGCAATGGTCGAAAAATCCTTGGAAATTCATATTAAATGCTTCTACACTTAAGAAGTTACCCGAAAGTTTCGCACCTCAGATTTATAGAGGATTACGTGGTAAGAAAAGACATGATCTTCAATAAGGGACGCCATCTGTTCGAAAATCAAAAATGTAAAAAAATATTCAGTAAATTTATTCCTTATAATAAGTATTTCCCTGTTTAAAGCCATGGTGAGCCACTTGACATTTTATACTGCAATATTTAAAAAATAATTGGCTATAAAAATCAAAAGGCCTTCAATCGACATTTAAATCCTGTTCAAATCATATCTAATTCTGTCTTTCAAGAATGCAAAAACCAAAAAACAAAGATGATAAAAAACCAATAAATAAGCTTTGACAATGAATAAAAAAGAAGTTTCGATAAAGAAGTTATAAGAAGATAATACCGTGATTAAAACTCCCTTTTCTTCTGATTTTCCACAGCCTTTTCCATTCTTTGCTGCTTGGCAATAAAATAATCAGAAATGGGCTTAATCGATGAAAGGGAATTAAGATGACCATAAATACAAATAAAAATAATAAAAGAAATAAAATTTCACTTGCAAAGAGATCAAGTTTCATCAAATTTCCTTTTACTTCCTGATATCATCTTTGCTAAAACTTCTTGCTCGAAATCCAAAAACTGTGAATGAGAAACATAAACTTCTGAAAGAATGAGAAAGAACTGAAGAAAATTCAGAATATTAATTTTCCCAATCCCAATAACTGAATCAAATATATTTTCAATGAATTATGAATATTTGACTAGAAATAAACTCATTTACTTACTGAGACAAATTAATTAATTGATACCTTTCGTTTGAGGTTGTTTTGGAATAGATGAAAATGTGGAATATTTAGGTCGTTCCGATAACCAAGTTATTTTGAGAGGAGCTTCTGCAAGCCCACTTTCGTTACTAAGACCTTCCTACAAATCAATTTCAGAATCAAATTAAAATCGTCAAAAATTAATATTAAGTAAAAATTAGTTAGAACAAAACAAATAACCAGATCTCGAAGTGTTTGAAAATCCAACATGGCTGACCCCTTTCCCGCTTTTGAAACCACTATAACTGAGATATCTCCAAACTGAAATTGAAATAAAAATTTCAACGAAAATAAAAGATTTCCCATTTGAAAAGCTCATTCTTTCTTTTTTTTTTGAATCATTCATTTTAATACATTTATCTTTCATGAAATTTGACCTTCCTCGACGAAAAAAATTATGATAAAAATTATGATATAATTCTCGAAAATGAGCATATGGCGAAAAATATAAAGCGAAAGTGAAGGTTTTCTTTTACTCTCATTTTTTCTACTATAATTTAAAATTTCTACCAGAAAACTTTTAAAAAAAGAATGAAGTAAACAATAAGAATGATCTTGTACCAAAATTAAAAATTTTTAAATAAAAGCTCGGATTTTAAGAAAACATGAGGATATTAAAAAAAAAAACCAGCCTTCCCAAATATTTGCCTCAATTTAGATTCGTCATAAATAGCAGCCAATTTTGAATCCCATCGGATTTTTAATCGAACATCAGAAATATAAGGTGTTGCTAAAAAATATGAAAAATTTACTAGGAAAAAGAAAGGTCAGCCAAATTCCAATGCAAACTATAAAGAAGAAAAACAAGCATAAACATGAAAAACCAAAGTTCACTTATAACCCTTTCTATAATGCGACCATTTTTTCGCCTAACACTATATTCCATATCTGGTTTAGCTGGCTACAACGATTACCGAGTCAGACTTTCAGATAATTCTTTTAGTAGAATGCCAAATAAAGAAATTTAAATTTAAATGAACCTTTAATGTCATTAAGATTCCACTTTGAATATACTCGTCTCAATAATCAGAGGAGTCAGCCGAACCAGAAATGGCAAGAACTTAGATAAAGTTAGAAACGCTTAGCTATTAAATACATACTGCAACTTTACCAACTGAATTCGCTTTTGAATGTACTTCCTTTTCAATATTTTCGCGTTCTTTTTGGAGCAATTTTGATCCTTCTTTTCGAAGTCGTTCAACCTAAATTTTCTATTACGTAATTGCATTTATTTTTAAGATTTTCTAAATTTTCTGCTCGATTTTTCTCCAGTTACTTAAAAGAAGGAACGAATATCAAACTAGTTAATGAAATCAAAAAATTTCTTGTAAGAGAAAAAAAAACTAGAAAATAGTCTCCTCCTTCCTTTTATTAAAATTTACCTCTTTTTCAAAATTTTTGACCGCTTCTTCAGCATCTAATTGAGTCTTGATTGCAGCTTCGGCTTCTCTCCTCTCCAATTCCTCTCGCAACCTTCTACGATTAGCATTTTCTGTTTCTTGTCTTCTTTGAGCGTACAAGACCTTCGCCGATTTGGCAGCAATAACCTGATCATATGCCCCTCTTGCAGCTGAGTCGCTAAGTATCTCAAAAGCTCTCGATACTTTCAGGAACATTTGCGTCGCTGCAAAATTTCAATATATCAACAAATCCTCCGTTAACAAATTTTTAATGCCAAAATCATAAGTAAAACTATTGCATTTTATGGACTTCGAAAATTTTTAAGTTCAAGTATAACTGAATGGCAAAAAAATCAATTACCGAATTCTTTTCTATCTGGATTTTTATCAGGATGCCATTTCAGCGCTATTTTCCGATACGCTTTGATCACCTCTTTGTCAGTGCAATCCTTTGACAATTCCAGCACATCATATGGATTGAAATCCAGTGGTACTTTTGCTCTAGACATAACTACTGGAACTTTGTTTTTGTTTGATAAAAAAATCCAAAATTTTCTGATAATCTGAAATTATGCTTAATTTATCATTCCATCAATACAAAAAAAATTACGCCATTAATTCTGGTTTCTTTTTTTCCATACTGATAAATGATTCCTTATTTTTTTTGTGCTAATAAAATAATTTCAAAGTTTCAAAAATTCATAAAAAATTTTAAAAAATCTTAGAAAAATGAATAAACAATGAAAAAGAAAATTTCACACATTTAATAAAATAAAAAATTGCAGAATAGAAAAAAAAAACGTTTCATTCAAAATTATAGTGCACTACTTTTTCAAAATTTTCGCAAAAAAATCTAAAAATGAAAAAATTACAATTTATTTCGCTCATGCACAACGATTCACGCAACCTACATTATAATAACATATGAATCCACGATTTCCAACGACAAAAATCTAGAAAAAATAATAATTTTATATGAAAATTCTTCGTCGAAAGCATTTCTTAGACGCAAAATTATTTCTTCTCCCATCTCATAATTTTTCATTCAATTTTAATCAAAAATTTAATCGCTTAAAAGTACCAATGTTCTATTTAAGCCCAACAACGCGCTACAGTTTATACTGCTTTTGTGCTTTATGGCCCAACAGACTTCTAACGATTTCGTGAAGTACACTGCGTTTAAGTAGTGAATTAAAAATTGGTGCATAATTCGTTGTTTCTCAATTCTGCATTTAACCGCATGAAAAACTAAAATGGATGAATAAAAAGGAATTAATTCGTTGATTGCAAATTTTTTAAATAAATTAAATTAAATAAATTCAATGACATTTCAAAAATTAAAGAAAAAAGAACGAAAACTGCCAAAACTGAATGATCCTTCTAACTTATGAAAAGTTATAAAATTAAGGAAAAAAAGTTCTATGAAATGATGCGATAAGCGACTCATTCCCACATTCTAAAAATATCGTGCTAATTCCAATAGCGATGTTTCAAAACTCTCCTTAATTTCAGTTATCCTTTTCAGCCAACCTAGGTACCACGGCTCGGATTCTATTAGTAGCAAATCCATCTGAGAAAAACCCCTGCAATACGAAATCACACGACGAACCTCCCCAGTTAAAATAATTCATTCGAAAGCCCACACAATTTTTTAAAAAATGAAATGAAATACGCTTCATTCCCTATACTAAAACTCAGTCTCCTCGAAATTATCGTTTTTCGAATCGACCTAGCCGTATGAGATTTTCATAGTGAAATAATTCGCATGACCATTGCTAACTTTACCCCTCGGATATCTCCTAAAGCTTTCTATGCCATAAGAACACAGGCAAGTTAGATCGAAGCAATAACTTTGCCTAAAATTTGACTATCAAAAGTCGGTCTCTGCCCGCACTTAAGCCGACAAATAGCGGCACCAATCGCTATTGGCTTCACTGGGTAAGGTTTGTCTAATGCGACAAGCCAACGGAGCGAATTTAACCAGTAATAGTGAAAACTAGAATATTTTATGGAATGGGTAGAAGGCAACGTTCTGATATTGGCGACGATAAAAGAGCTCAAATAGACGCTCCATGAACAAGTGGATTTGTTCAATATATTTTATCATTTCATGAATTATGAAAAAAATTAAATTTTTCAAAAATTTATTCAAATATTAAATATAAATTTGTTCAAAAATTGCATTTAAAACAATATAAAACAATGAAAATTCAATGAAATATTAAAAATTTATAATAAAAACGCAAATAAAAAATTAAAATTATTAGTCTAAATTATTGATAGATTTTCGCTGCCAAAAATTATGAATTTTTTTTTTTTTTGATCATTTTCTGCACTGTGCACACTGCACTTAATTTGTATCATTCGCGTCATTTCGCGTTTTATCCAATCGTGCAACATCACCAAAGCTATAGGATTCACGCGCGTCATATCGCGTTCCATATAATCGCGCAATATCACGAAAGCTATACGATTCACGCGCGTTATTTCGCGTTTTATCCAATCGTGCAACATCACCAAAGCTATACGATTCACGCGCGTTATTTCGCGTTTTATCCAATCGTGCAACATCACCAAAGCTATACGACTCACGCGTGTTATTTCGCGCTCCATATAATCGTGCAACATCACGAAGGCTATACGATTCACGCGCTTCATTTCGCGCTCCATATAATCGTGCAATATCACGAAGGCTATACGATTCACGCGCGTCATTTCGCGTTTTATCCAATCGTGCAACATCACCAAAGCTATACGATTTACGTGCGTCATTTCGCGTTTCTTCTGGCAATGCAATACTTTTTGAGCATTGCAAACCATCTTTTACTTGAATAATAGAACTATCAATATTTTCTATTCTAAAATAATTATCAATTAATTATAAATTTTTTCAAATTGAAAAAACTGTAATAATTTTAAAAAAAGAAATAAAATCTAAATTCTAAATTCTAAGTCTATTTTTGAAAGGAATAAGCGATTTGTTTGGGTACCAATTTGTGAGAAAATTCATGAAGGTTTCAGGCCAAAAGCATTTGAAGAAAGCAAATAAAACCTTAGGCAATTGGAAAGATAAATCACTGACATTAAATAATAACTTTTTAGCAGATTTTGTTTCACAGTTAGACTTTGTTGCTTAATTCGGAGCGCCGATGCTGCGGTTCCATTTCTCACAGGAGTGAACCTAAAAATCCGGTTGATGCTGGCGACTTATCTGCACCTCGATCAACAAGGGATTCTCTGGCATATTTGTCCAATGTGACAAACCAATGGAGCGAGTTTAACCAGCAATGGTGAGAGCTGTTAGAAGAAGAAAAAAGAAGAGAGTCGTCAGCATCATCCGGATTCTAGGACAGTTTACTTCTGCGGAAAGTAGAACCTCAGCACCGCCGTTCTGAGTTTACCAACAACCCACTGAGCCATTCCAGATCCTATGTAAAATACTTAAAATACTTTAAAAACGGTTTAAAGAAATGTGAAATTAAACTTACTCTTTTGAATTATCAGAATTTCCTTTTTCAGAAGTACGTTTATCTTCAGAAACTATAAGAAAAACAATTGATATATGCAGAAAGGTAAAGTAAAATCATTCAGAACCTTTTGCTTGGAATTTCCATCGTCATTATTCAACTTATAAATTTCGAAAATGTCAGCTTAATTATCGAAATTTTGAGGATTAAAAAATTTTTATAAATCTATTTCATATAAAATCACCGCTACTCGATAGAATATCACAAACTGTTAATAAATCTTTAGAGAAATTCTAACTTTCATGAATGAAGTGGCATTCATTACCATATGGACAATTTCCATTTTTGGCAAATTTATTGCATAGAATAGTCTTATATTTGGCATTACGTTTCCCATGAGATTTGTTGACATTTGGCTAAATGATAAATTATAACATATTTCATTCAAAAATGGGTATTTTTCTTGAGTATATATTTGCCAATGGTGATCCTCCGGAAAAAATTTCCAATATAAGGAAAATCTAAGGTGTGATTATTTTTTTCGGTAATACCACTATATGTTTATTATGCGTTAATTAAGCTTAAAGTATCCACATTTAATGGACTCTTTAGTAGTCCGAAAATAAAATTACATTACATATTGCATTTCTTTTTTACATGCATTTTACATGCACAATTGTAAAACATAATGTTGTGAAACATGAAATGAATTTGGAATCTACGCCAAATTATAGACGCATAAAACAAAACTGAGTCTGTGGAAAGATACTAGGGAGAATTATTATTTGGAATAAATTATATGATCATCTAATTTGAGCAAAAAAATCTATTTGCCAATATTTCAGAGCAAAAAAAATTAATTAACTCACAATTATTAGGAGATGCTAATGTGTGCAAAATTTCTTATCGGCCTGGAAACGATAATTAATTTCTTTCTGTGAGAACGACCTTGTTAAGGTACTTAAAATAGATTTCACCGACTTCAAGAAGAATGGACTGCTTTATTCATAAAGAGCAGTAAAGTACTTCGTATTAATTCATATAAGCTCCACAACCTTTCATTAAATTGTTTTGCACCTTTTAGGGTGAATAATATTTCATAATTTTGTATAACTACAGATAAAACTTTATTTTCGATTTTCGCTATAGAATGATAGTTAAGCAATCTTTAAGGCTGTTGAATTTCGCATTTTGCCATTTTAAAAGCAGAAAGGGAAACCTTCCTTATCAAAAGCATAAAAAAACGAAAGACCATGTCCATGTATCTGCAATCCGCTAGATTATGTTATATGGTTGCGAGATATGACCGATGAGAGTGGAGGATATTTTAAGATGTTATCTGCCTTTAATCACTCAAGTCTAATGTATATTTTACAGGTCTACAAAGTGGATAAAATCTCGCATGATCGCATCTACCTTTGCTCAAATACCATTTGCATTAACAGTACCATCACGAAGTATCGCCTTAGCTAGCTAGGACACATTTTTGGTTATCCATCATAAAAGTTGATACAGATTCATTGCTTGCTAAACCCTGTGGTGAGGTAGACAGCGGAGCTAGCCTAACCAGTAAAAGTGAGAGCCGTTAGAAAAAGAAGCTCCGAGAAGTGAAACTCAGAAATACCATAAAACTCTTCATCGTCTTAATTCCGAATGTGCCACATTAAATTACTCAAAGCTCAAAAATTCTGCGTTTTAGAATGATAAAACAAGATTTTACATTCATTTTTCAATGCAAATTATATAACAAAACTTTGCATGGTTAATTTTATATTGCTAAACTGAATTGCTCAAATTATAATTTCAGTTGATTTTTTAGCCGAGCAAAATTCATTGGTTTGGAATAATTAAAGCTCATATGCATAACTAACTTAAAGACTTACAAGTTGGCCATTTGTACTGCTAATAACCACCCGAAACTTTAAAAAAATTGCTAATTAACACCATTTGAAAACCTTCTCAACTCAGCAGATTATTTTAGACGACCGAAAATAAGGTTTCTTAATTTTTATATAAAATTTAATTAAAAAAAAAAGAAAGGAAAACTTTTGTTATATAAATTACCCTTTTATTTTATTTATTTTTACTCATATACTTTATTCAAATAGAAATTGCGAATTATCCTATTTAAACGGAATTTATCAAAAAAATCACTCAAAAATTTAGTTTATATATTCTATCATTTCCTCGTAAATCGCTAAAATAATATTTCGAATAATGACGACCCATATAGAAAAATTTGCATTACCACAGAAATGTTTGAATTTTCTAACTAACCAACCAACCTGTCTCGTAACTTGCAAATTTGTAAATATTTGTTCATTTATACAGGAATCTGGAACAAAAAAAAAAAAAAAAATCTTTTCTCAACACGAATTAAGAAAATTATTTAATCAACAACAAAGAAGCCAAAAAGAACGAATCTACGATATTTCTAGGATTTGCATTTCTAATCCGAAGGCCATTAATTCAGTTTAATAAGCTATTTTCGAAAGAGAAGAAGAAATAGCTTCTTATCATAACTTCAAAAGATGTTATAAGTTTGCAATAGGGCATGGAAGAATTTCAAAAGATTTTAGTGAATTTCATAGATTTGAGGGATTTTAATTAAATATAATAGGAGAGGGAGAGGTGGGGGGCTTCGGCGATCTTAGCAGCTTACTAGTTGCTTGTCGAAGAAAATAATCCGCAGAAATTACCATGAAATTTCACAGCAGATTATTTGACTATACCAATACATGAAACTTCAACTTTTTCCTCCGTTAGAAAGCCATTACAGGAAGAAAAAAAACTAAACGCTTTAAACATTTTTTAAACTTTAGATAGGTAAATTTAAATCCGATTAAAGAATGTTTTAAATTTCATTGAAGATTTTTATAGAATAGTAAACCTTGAGTGTGGAATGGAATATCTGAGCGATTTATGTTAGGGTGAATGATATTTGTGCGATTTCCGAGAGTGCACTGGCAATTAATGCATTACATTAGGAGTTGCTTGAATGAACATTTCAGATGGAATAAAATAATGCGGGAGAACTGCGCGTGGATAAAAGAATGGTCGTCTGCTATAACAGGCAACTGAAACGGAACATGTGAAGCTACTGGACAAAGACAGACAGCAGATACCGATGTATGTTGCGCTGGCAAAGCTGAAAAATTAATGAAAAATATTTTTCGTTTTTCAGAATTAAACCAGTTTCAACATCCGACTAGGAAAATTTAAATTTAAAATTACTGTAATTATTCCAATAATCCTAATTATTTAAAATATCGCATTCGTAAATTACACGTAATATTTGATTGAAAGGCACCAAGTTACACTGCTACACTGGGTAGTAGGAACGAAAGATATACTATCTTTTTAATCTTTGGGTGCAAATAGTCTTTGAACTGATACAACAGGAAAAAATGACACCTTGTTGCTGCAAATGGTGCCGGGGAACACTAATACGAGCTGAAGGTTGAGGTGGTTGATCCGGGTGTGTTAAATAACAACAGAAAACTGGACATTCTTGTATTATATGGTACAGAAAAGGTGCAGAAGCTACGATATTCTCATATATATTAGTAGCTACATGAATTGGTTCAGTTTGTTGAAATGGTTGATTGGACTAAAAATTTATAAAAAACAAAATCCTGGCCAATGTCAATAATCATTCATTGTTTTAATCATTTTTTTCTCACCTACTTTTAAAATATTTTCTTGCCTTCTAATAGTTTGCCTGGTTTGATTGACATTGACTGCTAGGAGTGAGGCATTTTAAACATTGACACAAGTGGGTCGACAGCACATATCCACTTTTAGTGAGAGATCAACTTCCATGAAGGAACATGATTTGAACCCAAACTACTTGCGCTCAGACGTTCTTGGAATTCTTTCCCTCTTTCCTTATCTTCAGTAATAATAAAAAAAGATTTATTGATAGAATAAAATTACGAATCAAGCGATAATTCTAAAAATGGTTTTAAACAAAATAATTAAAAATATTAAAATGAGATGCGATCATTCGGAAAAAAAGCGAACCTGAAAGAAGCTTACATTCAGCCAAGGGGCAATATTAAAGCTGATAATTTCGAACGAAGTGATAAGAAAAGTTCGAAATAGGGCAATATTGGTACTTTAAGAAAATCAATATACTGATAATGAAGCGTTTAACAAACAACAAAAAATGAATGAATATTTAGAATTGGTTAATGCAAGAAAAGGAAGTTTCTGAATTTCTTGAATGTCAACATGTTTTATAATTAATTTAAGAAAATAAATATTTTAAAGAATTACCGTAGCGCCATGCGATTCGTTTTCCTCTGTTCGTTTTTTCGCTGATCGCTTAGCAAACATTTTTTTCGTTTCAGTTAATTTTTACGAATGACAATAAGAGAGAAAACAAACGAAAACCCCGATTCTTACAAAGATAGCTTATCAAAATGATTGGTCTTAATTCATTTGCCTTATGCAACAGAAAGGTCATATAATACGATGAAAAGAAACGAGATTATTGCAACTTTTCAGTAACAAATACCGAGATTGTAAAGGTCAAAAATTATAAATTTAAATCATCCAACATAATAGTTTTTGAATTTCCACTTGATAAAACGATCGCTTCGTTTTGCTTTTACACGAACGACAGGAGATTTTGCTTTTTCCCGCTTTTTGCTTTCTTTCCTATCCTCTTCTTTCCTCTTTCCATTTCCATACACCATCTTCTCCTTTTCCTAAATTTCCATATGCCCTCTAATCGTTATCTTATTTTTATTTCCTCACTAGCAATGTTTTATTAATTGTCGAAAATATTCGCGAATTCCATTTGTATTCGGATTTTGTGAAACTTTCACAAACTGTTTTATTTCTTATTGATATTGCATTTTAATATTTTCAACCCAACTTTCCAACAATTGAAAAAAATTGAAGCATTTAGATTAATTATTTCGCATTCTGCTAGACTTTCTGTTTCAATAGCATATTTCAAACGTGAAACGTGGCACCGAAATCGAAATAAATATTGGTGTCGAAGCGAAAAGGCTCTTTCGAATAGCCTTTTTGATATTATAATGGCACTTTTAATTTTATACTCAATATTACACTACTAAGAAAGATTCGAAACAATTCATAGCCTTTTATGAATGAATTAATAATGGAATATATTTTAGCATTTTCAAAATTGTCGAAATTTGTAAACAAATCAAAAATCTATCATCAAATACAAATTGCTTTATTTGATCCGCGCAAAAACTACTCGAACTACTTTTTTTTATAACTAAGAATTAAGCGAGGAACCATCGATTAAACTCTTAAGTGGTTAATGGCCAAATACCTGGAACTATCCCACTTAACGTTTAGTTGGTGAAAAACAGTGATAAACATGACTTCTACTTTTATAGAATTTAACAGGATTTACGTAAAAATACGATGAATTAAAATATGCTTAAAATTACTAGGAGTTATAACGATGAACGAATTGAGTGTTATCTTTTTACAAAATTATATGCCTTAAGCAGATAAGATAGAGGATTTTTCCAGGAAAATTTAAATTTTGCACCATAATTAGAATTTTAAAGTTTTTAATTTTAAATTTTCATTTTAAATTTATTACTGAATTTTTTCTACGACACACTGATAAGAAAAAAATGATATCCTCGCATCCTCCATTAATTAATAAGCCTCCGTCAATAACTCAATTGATAAAGAATAGGTTTTAAGTGTTTGCGTGATGCATTTAAAAAATTCGAATATATCTTCGAAATAATCAAACAAGTACTTATACGATATTGGTGCTTGCTTCATGTTCTATAAGTTTATGCTTGCATTCTAATTTTTTTCTGTGAGTACTCACCAATTCTGGTTAGGTTGATTCCACTGGCTTGTGCCAGACAAATTTTGTATCACAAAAAGCTTTCAGCGCTAGAATAATAAGCAGATAGCCAGCATCGTCCAGATTTTTAGAAAGAGTTGCTTACTACAATGGTGCTCCGAAATCAGAGCAAAAGCCATATTGTGCAATTGTACTTCTATGCATTCCATTTTATATTTTATCTGGGAATGTTTTTATTAGAAGAAATTTAATTTCTCATTTCATTTTGAAGGAAGTCAATTCACCTTCATTTTCCGATTTATTAGAATAAAAATGGCACAGTGGGTTTTTGATCAATTCGGAGCAGTGATGCTGAGGTTTTATTCCTCGCAGAAGTAAACCTGTCCAAAAATACAGATGATGTTGGCAACTCACTTGTACTTCTATCACCAAGAGAATTCCTGACATATTTGTTCCGTGCGAGCCAATGCAGAGAGTCTAAGCAGAAATAGTGAGGGCTTTCAAAAAAAAGGTATCGAGAGTATGAATGAAGATTGCCTATGATAAATAGCATTCCAAAAATTCATTCATGCATTTGTTGAATACAAAATTTATGTTTATATCAGATCAGAGAGAGAAAGTCCTCACCATTACTGGTTAAACTCGCTCCACTGGCTTGTTGCATTGGGCAATATGCCAGGGAATCCCTTGGCGATAGAAATACAGATGAGTCGCCAGCATCATCCGGATTTTTGTACAGGTTTGCTCCTGCGTGGAATCGAACCTCAACATCGCCGTTCCCAATTGAGCAGCAACTCATTGAGCCATTCTATCTCCACTGAGCTGTTCTATCAGATCAGAGAGAATTGTTTATCAATTATTTTATTTCAAAGCATAATCTTATATTGAAAAGATCGAAGTTATTTCTATTCAAATGGAATAAAAATATTGTTTGGCGGTAAAAAAAAAACGAGATAAAAATTGCACTCACAAATTATTTTTTAGATTCCCTTGTGGATACTAAATTAATTTTTATATTTTCTTGCTTTATTATTGTCAATTATTGACTATTTTTCATAGATTTTTTATTTAATTATATTTTTTTATTCATATTTTATATTTGTATTATATTATTTATTATTATTTATATTTTTTATTTATATTTGTATTATTAATTCAAGTTCATACTAGGAAATATTTGCGATTCGGCCTAATCTGGCCTTTTGACTAATTTACTTAGCCAACTATATTAGTTTATAACCAAAGAAAAAATGAAAAATGATAAGATTTGTATAGATACAACGGTAAAATAAAATTTTGTGGTATTAAATGAAACTAGTTAATTTAAAGTGTTTAATCGCATAAAGGTCCGTTGTTTTACAGTTATGGGAAAATTGATTTTCAAAAGATATGATCGGTACAGATTTTGCTTAATTAGAAGATTTCCCAACAGACTTTTTATAATTTATGTTATTTAAGAAAATTTTCATTATTTATTTCATTATTTTTTTCATTTATCACTGATAGCCAATTGCCTTGTTGGGAAAATCTCACGAAAAAATTCGTTTTATTTTTTTATTTCCTCGCATCTTAAAAGAAAATGATCAGTTGGATATGACTGTTAAAACTGGATAAAACAGTCATAAAACTTAATATAAAGCCATTTATTTTTTGTTGAAGGAGAAATGAAATGATAAATTTACGTTGATGAAATTCTTTTATTTCCGATTAACTTCATAAATTTCTAATATAAATATTTAATAAATATTTAAGCATTTCCGATTCACTAATTTGAAAACGTTTTAACACTTTTTATCAATTGTAACAACTGAAAATTTGCTGTAAAAATTTATTATTGCAAGATTAATTACGACTTTATTTTTGAAAATATTCTTTTTGATTCGCTTTCAACGAAATTTTTTCGCATTTTTATATTTACCATTTATATAGCTTTTTTTAAACAGCATTTATACGAAGCCTGGAAGGCCTTTACTTAGGCTTAGTTAAGCATTTGATTATAGAATGAATGAAGTTATTTACTTCAGAAATATTCTGTCCAATTAATAAATTCGATTTTAAAGGACCATTCCAAATTTGTCTATTAAAATTATACGAAGAAATTTTGAAATTTTGAATATTTATAACCGTACAAAATAATGGCAAATTATTTTTATTGTATAAAAATACGCATATTGATAGAAATTATTATTATTTTCATTTATTATTTTGATTTATTATTATTGAGCAAGAAAATTTCCAGCATTCGGAAGTTCGAAAATATGGGCTTCCGTTAAAAATCATTTACATATATATATATATTTGCTTCTATTATTTTAAAATGCTGAAATTATTTCTGAGAATCAATGAAGGCTTGAATTTTTGATTCAATTAGACATTTAATTTGAATTAATGAAATATATTCATTTATTAAATCGAATATTGTTAGTACAAATTCCTTCACCAAATAACATACAACAAATGTAAATATTATTGAACAAAAAAGGATAAAGGAGAAATCATTAATACAGCAAGTAAAATTTTTAGGGCGGTGTTGTAATGGCTTATTCGATTTTCTGCTGAGAATGCACCTGCATTTTTATTCATTTTTGACTAATCCTTTGCCAGTAATATTATATTTTTAGCGATCAATCGCTAGCAAAGCAGAAATGGAAAGAGAGATGATAAGGTGATCAAAAGAATTATTGCGATAAATGAAATTCTGAAATTTTTTTTCATCAAGTTATATATTTCAGCTTTGCAACTCAGATATTTCGTTAATTCATAAATTTTCAGTAGATTCTTCATAGCTAATCGCTTTATTATCAGATGAACTTATCGATTCTGACTTTAATAAAACTTCTTCATAAGATATATTTCAAGAAATATTCTGCATTTTAATTATTTTCTTAGATCAGCGCTCTTTCCACGTTTTGTTACCATAAGCTTTATTTTCCATATCGTATAAAAAATTATTAAACATATTATTCGACTAAATTCGATTTTGATGAAAACTATTCCAGTGGTATCGAAAACGAAAGATTCATTGTACCACTAATGAATTATTCTCTCAGATACTCAGTGGGTTATTGCTCTCATTGCGGCCAGAGCGCCGATGAGCTCCAATGCTGGAGTTCTATTTGCGGTATGAGTATATAAATCTTGCCAGCCAAAAATTCTTTCTTGATGCCTGCAACTCAACTGTCAATATTTTAACCGCCAAGTGACTTCCGGCCAAAATTGGTCTAATCCAACATGCCAATAGAGCGATAACCAAAAAGCGATAATCGTTCTCAGCAAAAAAATTCAACTGTGTCACATTTTACTGGATAAATGGGTGAAACAAAAAAAATTAAACAATTCAACATTTTATGAATATTAATTTCATCAATGATCCATTGATTTATAAGAAAGGAAAACATTAAAAATCTTCTTCTATAAATTGCAAAATAAATAAACAAAATGAAAAAATTTTATATATGAAAATAATTAACTCGGAATTAGGTTTCTATAAAAATGTTCAATTGGAAATAAAGTCCTATCGGTCGGCTTA